TGGCCCAGATTAAGTTTTTTAAATAAAAATTTAGCAACCTAATTTAGACTTCAAAGAGTTAGTATGAAAAAAAGAATGTAAATGCCACAAGTAATTTTTATGCTAAATACATGGAGAAATGATACCACTTTGGATATTTTGAAGATTTAGTATGAAAACAGAATATCTCATTAATAACATATATAATGATTACATGTTGAAATAATATTTTTTGATATATGCCTGAAATAAAATATATTAACATGTTTCACTTGTTTCCTTTCTAGCTTTGAGACAGAGTCTCATTCTTGTTGCCCAAGCTGGAGTGCAATGGCATGATCTCGGCTTACTGCAACCTTCGCATCCCGGGTTCAAGCAATTCTCCTGCCTCAGCCTCCTGAATAGCTGGGGTTACAGGCATGTGCTACCATGACTGGCCAATTTTTGTATTTTTAGCAGAGAAGGGGTTTCTCTGTGTTGGTCAGGTTTGGTCTCAAACTCTTGATCTCAGGTGATCCACCCCCCTTGGCCTCCCTGTGAGCCACAGCACTGGCCTCCTTTTTAGTTTTATTTTTTAAGTGACTACCAGAAAAGTTAAGATTATGTAAGTGGCTTGCATTAGGTTTTTAATGAATAATGGCACTTTAGAGTATTCCATTAAATGATTCATCTACTGTGGATAGATACTGAGATTTTTCTAGTTATACTTACTACAAACAATGCTGCTTTGAACATTCTTATATTTGTATCTTAATAACACTTTTGCTTGAGTTTCTCTAAGATGTAATAAGGGTACAAAATTGTTTTCCTAAGAACTTGTACTATTTAAAGTGGCAGACTGAGAACATGCCATGTCTCTACCTGTTCAACCTCTACCAGATCCCTAAAAGTTATACAACAGAAATAATTTAAAAATCCACAACCTTAGCTCAAAATGTGGAAGCAGTTCTACAAATGCTCCCCTATCAGAAATGCCTGGGAACTGCCTACAGGTTATTGGTTGGGACACGGCAGTAGAAGGCAGGGGCACATCAACCCCATACCCTTCTTCCTTGGGCCAGGCAGCAGTGTCTTCCTCCAGTCAGGAAAAATTGTCAGCAAGTGGGCAGGGTCCTGGAACCCTGGAGGAAGGGTGTACACTCCCTTACTAGCCATCTCCCACACCTTCCTTATTCTCAGCAGAGTCCATCTGGAATACTACCCCTGGAATCTCACCTCTCCTCTAGAGCTAGAAAACAGAATTGTCTGGTTCCAGCATTTTTTCCTTATCAATAAGATATCAGACAAGGGTGAGGAAAACGATTTTAAAGTAGTCATAATTCCTCTTCTTAGATTACTATGCTAGTCTTTTTTTTTTTTTTTTTTTTTTTTTTTTTTGAGACAGTCTCACTCTGTTGCCCAGGTTGGAGTGCAGCGGCGTGATCTCGGCTGAGTGCAACCTCCGCCTCCTGGGTTTAAGCAATTCTCTTGCCTCAGCTTCCCAAGTAGCTGAGATTACAGGCACCCACCACCATGCCTGGCTAATTCTTATATCTTTAGCAGAGATGGGGTTTCACCATATTGGCCAGGCTGGTCTCAAACTCCTGACCTCAAGTGATCCAACCACCTCGGCCACCCAAGGTTCTGGGATTACAGTCGTGAGCCACTGCACCCAGCATGTGTTTTATTTTTAATTTAGAACTCATGTATGACTTGTCTATATAATTACATTAGTTCAATGTAAGTTGAACTAACGATGTGACACACAAACTGTTGTGAAAAACGTCAGTTCCTTCTAATGTAAGCATTTTTTCCAAAATCATTTATGTGCCTAAACTAATTCCTTCTATAAATCAGTAAGAAAATGATAAAACAATTCAACAGGAAAATGAACAAAGGACAGAAAACTCAGAGAAGAAACACAAATGTTCAATAAACATATAAAGGTATTTAACTAAATTCATGAGTAATCAGAAAAATTCAAATTTAGATGGAATCCCTTTTATTCACCTGTAACGTCAACAAAAAGTTGGAGAATGCCTTGAGCCTTGGAGTTCGAGACCATCAGCAAAAAGTTGGTGAAAAAGTGTGGGGAAATGAATGCTGTCATATTCTGCTGACAACAGAGTAAGCTGGCACAACATTTTTGAGGGCAATTAAAATTTTATATCTACACAGTCTTCACCCCAACGATTCCATTTCTAGATATCTATTTTACAGGAATAGTTGCCCATGTTCACAAAAAAGCATATACAGGGATTTCATTGCAGCAATGCATGTAACAAGAAAACTAAATGTAATCTAAATATTCATCAATGGGGGAATTATTAAATAAACTATGATGCATCCATACTATGGATTATGCAGGAGTTTAAATGAATGAGGTAACCCTCTAAGTACTGGGAAGGAAAGAAATCTAAAGCGTATCATGAAGTGAAAGAATCAAGTTGCAAGATGTTACCACTTATGTAAAGAAGAAAGATTTTAGAAACCACACAATAAATCTATTTTGCTTTACGTAAATATGTAGTACGCAATGGGAAAAAGTCTGGAAGGATATATACTAAACGCAGAATAGCGTTACCTCAGGGATGAGGGAGAAGGGCACAACCAGGGATTCTGCTATATCTCTTACATCATTTTTATACATTAAAAACAAAATCATGGGCTGGGGGTGGTGGCTCATGCCTATAATACCAGCACTTTGGGAGGCCAAGGTGGCAGGATCACTTGAGCCCTGGAGTTCAAGACCAGCCTAAGCAGCATAGAGAGACCCTGACTCTACACAAAATTAGGTGGGCATGGTGGCATGCACCTGTAGTCCCAGCTACTTGGGAGGCTGAGGTGGAGGATCACTTGAGCCTGGGAGGTGGAGGCTGCAGTGAGCCGTGATTGTGCCACTGCACTCCAGCCTGGGGAACAAAGTAAGACCCTGTCTCTGAAAAAAAAAAAAAAAAAAAGAGAGAGAGAGGAAAAAAAGGGAATATAACCATGTATTATTTGTATGATAAAAAATAAATTTAAATTGCCTCTTACTTTAAAGAGAGCTCACCAAATTTAATTCTAAAATAACCATAGGATTGTAATCAACAGAGGTTGATTTGGGGTATGGAGGGGAAATATCTTTTCTCAGAAGTACAGACCTCAAAATTCTGGACCAAGAAGGGTCTTACAATGCAGTTAGTTTTTTTTTTTTGTCATATTTGGAGAGAATATACTCACAGTTTCTTGGTCCAACTGTATGCTTCTCATACATTTCCATCAATGTAAGAAATATAGTTTCCTTGGAAATTCTGTAAAGAAACACAGTTTATATCCTTGAATAGGTAGGAAAAGAATGAACAGGATAAGTAAAAGAATTATGGCAACCTTGTCAGGGATATTCAGTTACAGAAAGTAACACCTGCCTTCTAATTTCCAGAGCTATCAGCTTCCCAGTTTGCACAATTAATCAAGAAATAATGTGGGGCCACTGGCACAAATGATGAGGCGTCTCCTGAAGCTTAACTTCCTATCCGTCCAATCTCTTAGACAGATGATGCCAGTTGATTACTTTGAATGTAAGTATTTTATACAAAAGCACTTAAGTGTCTAAACAACTCCTTCTACAAATCAATACAAATATCGTAAATAATTCAACAGAAAGTGGGCAAAAGCTTATCATTATCAACAAATAAGAAAGAAACCCTATGCCAGGTAACACCAAAGCTTTGGCCCAGTGCCCTCTGCCGAAACATACTAGGATTTTTCTTTCCACTTCTATTACAACCGATCTGATTTAGCCCCTTCACACTTTACTCCTAGGTTTTGCTAGACCTTTCTAGTTGTCTCCCTGAATTAAGGTTTCTCCTCTAGGGCACTCTAAATATAGATTCTAAAATAATCCTTTGCATGTCTATACTTGAACATAAAGCAAAAAACCAAATAAAATAATCTTCCTGTTTTAATCATTTCATCTCTCTTGCTTGGAAACTTTCAATGGCTTTCCATATCTCACTGTGTAACTTTCAAACTCCTATAGCTGATAATCAAGGTTTTACAAAATCATATCTTCATTGTTCCCTCATGTGCTTCTGTGCAGCGAGATTGGTCTAAATTCCAACCATACCTGTAGCCATGCCTTTGCCTAGACTATACTCCCATTTTTTTTTTTTCTATTTAACAAATTATAGCTACTCTTTAAGATCCAAGTAAAGTTTTAGCTTATCCATGTAGCTTTCCCTGACTTCCACACCTCAAGGATCACAGATTCTGGTAAACTCTAGCACCGATGTTCAGCATTATCTTTTAGTACTTAATTATATATACCTCCCTTTTTATGCCTATTCTCTCTCTTCCTTCCTATCACTTTCATGTTCTGGAGACGGTAGCATACTTGGCCCTGGGCTGGACACAAAACGAGTGCTACATATAAAAGCCAGGGACAAAGATGAGTTCTGGACAAAACTAAAGGACTGAGTAATCATGTTAACAACCAACACTCCTACATATGCTAGGCACCGATGCAAGTATTTCATGTATTCCTCACCTAAATTTCGCAACAATCCTGTGAAATGGTAACTAGCATAATCCCCAGTTTAAAGATGAGGAAACTGAGTCACAGAGCAGAATAACTTGCTCTGGGTCACCAAGCTAATAAATGACAGACCTGGGTTCAAATCCAGGCAGCCTGGCTCCAGAATCAACTCTTAATCACTTAGAGCATCATCACTGAGATGGGGAGAGGGGCAGGCTCCTGTAAAGAGGGTGAAGTGAAAATGGGAGGAGAGCAGCGGTTAAGCAATGATGTGATGAGGCTAAATAAAAATGCATAAGAAAACGAGTAAGGGTAAAAGACTAGAGTAAAAGTAAAAGACTGGAGAAGGGGCCTAATGTAAAGGAGAATGAGGAGAAGGAAGAGTGGACAAGCAAAGGTGAAAGCAGAAAGTCAGCTGTCAGTATGGCTTGGGGAGATAAAGAAGGCCCAGGAAGGCCTCCAGGAAAAGGCTGCCACATCAGGCAGGACACAGAGGACAATGGAGGAAAGGTGATTCTTACAAGACAGTGGAGGTGCCGTTGTAGGTGTTCGGCTCTGGCACAGGCACGTGGCGGAGCCTCTGCTTTGGGCTGAGATCAATACACGACAGCGTCTCATCTCTGCAGGTACAGAGGTCACACATGTTGGTGCCTGCAGAGGCCTGTTCCTCTGATGCAGTTAAAGCCTTATTTTGGGTGTAACTTTCAGACTGCACCAGTGAATCCTGAGTAGGTTCTAGATCAGTAGGTGGACCTGTGACTTCAGTCAGGTTTTGATGCTGAGTCTGAACGTCGTCTGGACGAGGAGCTGTAGTCTTCTCCAGGGCTGTAGAATGTCCAGTCTCTGTAGTGGGTTCTGGAGTTATGGTAAGCCTCAGATCCAAAAGTAGAACTGTGAGTTGTGTCAGGTTTGCATGCTGAGTCTGACCCTTGTCTAAAGGTGGAAGTGTCACCTCAGGGTGCTTTGGAGGAGGAGCAGTAGTCGTCAGGGCTGTGGAAGGTTCAACTTCTGTAGTAGATTCAGGAGTGATGGTAAGCCCCAGATCCAAAGGTTGAACTGTGGCTTGAGTCAGGCTTGAATGCTGAGTCTGAACCTCGTCTGGATGTGGAAGTGTCACCTTAGGGTGCTTTGGAGTCACTAGTCTTCTTCAGGGGTGTAGAATATTCAACCTCTGTAGTGGGTTCTGGAGGTATGGTAAGTCCCAGGTCCAAAGATAGAACTGCAACGCTGGGTGACACTGGGTGCTGAGCTTGATTCTGACCTGGTGTTGGAACTGTTACCTCTTGATACACTGGAAGTTGGGGTACAACTTTCTTAGGAGGCTGAGTTGGGGTCTCCTGCAAGGTTGGAGAAAGTTCAACTTCTGTTGTGGATTCTGGGGTGATGGTAAGCTCCAGGTCTAAAGGTTGAACTGTGACACTAAGCAATATTGAGTGGTGAGCTTGATCTTGACCTGGTGTTGGAACTGTCACCTCATAATGAGCTGGAGGTTGAGCTGCAACCTCCTTCTAGATGGCTCTGGAACCTAAGCTGTGACCATCTGCTGGCTTGAAGGTTCTACAACCTTAGGGGGCTCTGGAGCCTGAACTATGGCCTCCTGCTGGGGTCGAGAAGGTTCTGCCTCCATAGGGGGTACTGGAGCCTCCTGCTGAGTTAGAGATGGTTCCACCTCTTCAGGGAACTCTGGAGGTGAAGATGGGGCCATCTGCTGGGTCAGAGAAGGTTCTATCACCATAGGGGGCTCTGAAGATTGAGCAGGGACTGCTTGCTGGACTGGAGAGGATCCTACTTCTTTAGTTGACTCTAAAAGCTCAGTTGGGGCCTGCTGTAGGACAGGAGATGGTTCAACCTTCCCAGGTGGCTCTGATGGCTGAACTGGTATCTCCTGCTGCAGTGGAAGGCTGATGATCTCTTCTGTGGACTTTGGAGGATGACCTGAGGCTTCCTGCTGGGTTACAGATGGTTCAACCTCCTTAAGGGGCAATGGTGGTTCAGCTGGGAACTCTTGCCAGACTGCAGAAAGTTCTATCTCCTTAGAGGAATCTGGAGTCTCAATTGTGGCCTCTTGCTGGACTGGAGATTCACTCTTTTCAGGAGAATGTAGAGGTGGGGAAGGGAGATCAGGCTGGACTAGAGAAAAGTCTGCCCACTCAGTGGGAATAGAAGGGTTGTCCTGCTGGACTGGAGAAGGTTCAACCCCCACAGTGAGTGCTGTAGGTATGGTAAGCTCCAGATCCACATTTTTAACTGTGGTATTAGGCAAAGGTGAATTACTTCTGAATACTGGAGACAGATCTAGAGGTGAAAATACCATCTCATTACTCAATGGACTTTCAAAGTCTGAGGAGAGCTGAGTTGGAGGCTGAATTCTGGGCTCTTCATGGACTGGAGGAAGTTCATCATTTTCAGGAGTATTTAGCTGCTGAATTATAATCTCTTGCTGGTCTTTCAAATGTTGAAACTGCTCAGGGGATATTAAGGGCTGAGCTGGGGCCCCCTGTTGGGTTAAAATTTCAACCTGATTAATGAGATCTGGAATCACTGTAACCATGTGATGCAGGGTTTAACAGTGACATTGTGCAATGTTGGAGGCTGAACATGTTGATCATAGAGAAGAAACTGGTACCTCATGATGCTCTGGAGGTTGTGCTACAACTTCATTAGCGAGCTGTGGAATCTGAGCTGGGGCCTCTTGCTGGATTAGAGAAGACTCAACCTCCTCAGGGGTCTGTGGATGCTCAGCTGCAGCCTCCTCCTGGGTTGGAAAGGGGTTCTCATCCTTAATAGATTCTGGAGACTAAACTGAGGTCCCCTGTTGAATTGGTAAGGGTCCAACGTCTTCCAAAGACTCTGGAAGCAGAGGTGGGTGGCGGAAGGTTCTACATCCTTAACTGGCCCTGAGAGCTGAGCTGTAGCCTCCTGGTGGATTGGAGAAGTTCCCATCTCTGCAATAGGTTCTGTTGCTATGGTGAGCTGCACGTCTGGAGGCTTAACAGTGACACTGGGAAAATCTGAATGCTGAGCTTGATGGTGACCTGCAGGTAAAACTGTTACTTTGTGATGTTCTGGAGGCTGAGCTGGGGTCTCCTGCTGGGCTGGAGAAGATTCAAGCTCCCCAGAAGATTCAGACGGCTGAGCTGGCTGCTCCTGCTCACTGGGGGAAAGTTTAGGCTCCATAGGAGGACCTGGAGGCTCCTTTGTGGCCTCCTGTTGGGTTGTAGAAGGTTCTACCTCCTTTGGAGGCTGAGTAGGGGCCTCCTGCTGGGCTTGGGAAGATTCTGTCTCCTTGGTAGGCTCTGAAGTTATGGCAATCTCCATATCTGCAGGTTTAACTGTAATGTTGGGCAAGTTATAATGAGCTTGATCCTTACCTGGAGGTTGAACTGTCACCTCATGATTCGGTGGAGTTTGAGCTAGACTTTCCATAGAGGACTCTGGAGGCTCAGCTGGGGCCTCTTGCTGGGTCAGAGAAGGTTCATCCCCTGAAGGAAACTCGGAAGGCTGAGCTGGCTGCTCCTGCTCACTGGGTGAACGTTCAGCCTCCACAGGAGGACCTGGAGGCTCAGCTGGGGTCTCTTGCTGGGATGCAGGTTTCGTCTCAGAGCGCTCTGGTGTCTGAGCTGGGGCCTCTAATTGGGTTGAGGAGACTTCACCTTCTTGGGGTACTTTGGAGGCCTGTTCCTGGCTTGATGGAAGTTCCTTACCTGGCTCTGGAGTTCCTGTAAGCTCCACATCCATAGATTTGACTGTGACATTGGGCAAGTGTGAGTGCTGAGCTTCACTCCAACTTTTAAATGGAACATTTACCTCGTGCTGTATTGATGGGTGAGTTACAGTCTCTTCAGAGACAGGCAGCTGCTGCGCTTGGGCCGGCGGCTCTGTTGAAGAAAAGCTGACCCCCTCAAGGGACTGTGAAGGCAGAGCTGGGGCCTCCTGCTGTGTTGAAGAAGGTTCTACTTCCTCAGGGAGCTGTGGAAGCCATGCTGGGGCTTCTTAGTGGAGGGAAGAGGACTGGAGCTCTTCAGGGGTCTCTGGATTTTGAGTTTCAGGCTCTAGATGGAATTGAGAAAGTCCAACTTGCTCAGGGGGCCCTGGAGGCTCATCTGAGTTCACCCGAAGTTCTGGCAGCAGGCTGCTGGGATACAGCATATCCATACTTTAAATACTCATCCTGCAAAGTTTGTTTCTGATGCTGAGGTTTTGATACAAATCTACGTGGAGTTCCCACAACCTTAGCAAGCCTCCAATGCTGAGCTGGATCTTTCTTCAGGTCCTTGGGAGAAACTATAAACTCCGTTGCTTTTAAATCCTTACTGTCTAGAGGTGGAATAAGTATTTCATCTGCCTGATGATCTGCAGCCTGATCTACATCTGTAGTTTGAACCTTACTTTTGAGGCGAGGAGGCTGAACTAGGGTCTGGTTCTGATCCCAGTCCAGCATTGGACCCACCTCTGGGAGCCTTTCTTGCTGAGTCAGCTTGTCATTCAGATCTGGGTGTCCAGACAAGAAGGTTCTGGCCCTGGGGACAGCTCTCTAGCTGAATCCGTGTCCAGGAATGGAACCAAATTCTCAGTCGATTCCTGGGGCAGGGCTGACCTCTGGGAAGAAGCAGAGGACCCCAGCTAATCAAAGCCACCGGGGCCTGCTGGGAAAGTAAGCATATGGGGAGATTCCCATGGGAGATTGGAGGAGTGCCAAGAGCAGGGCTCAGTCAGCCCCAGTGGGTTAGAGATCAGCTGGAGCGGATCCTTGACCCACTCCAGAGGCTGAGCCTCGTGGACTAGTAGCCACGATAGTTGCCACGTGAGTAGGGGCCATGGGGCCCAGAGAGGCAGCTGGAACATGACAACCGCTGGGCTGCGCATTGAGCGGGAGCCATTCTGGCAGCCCCTAGAGACTCGCGTTTGTGACAAGCACACGCCCCGCCCCGTCCTTTATGACACCTTTATTTAGTTCCCCTTTATTAGGCTTCAGTCTAGATCTGCTTCACGTCACCAGGGCGATCTTATCTCACAATTCCGACCAAGCCCCTCTTCCCACCCCGCCCTGCCCTGCCGGTACAATCCTTCCCTCCCCTTAGCGAGGATTTCTGCTGCAGACCCGGGTGGTCCCAGGACTCCAGCAGGCTGTTGTGGTGGGGTGGGGGCGAGGCAGAGCTTCCCAAGGAAGTCACGGGACCTCGCCTCGGGATATTCAGAAGCACTAGCCCAATTCTGGCAGCCTGAACTCTTCCTTCTCCAAGGTGAAATTTGAGAATAGTGTTCCTTTCAGGGAGAACAACTGACCTGCAAAATGTGCTCCAGTTAAGGTAGCAGGCAGAATGCACATTGTAATCATTTAGTCCAAAATGTTGCCATTTTCCCTAAACTTTTTGTATCTTTTGTTGTATGTCTGGTAATTTTAATTCACCACCCTGTTGGGTAGGGGCTGCCAGAGAATAAGCGAGGACTCCAAATTTTCTGTAGGAGGGGTGTTGGGGGTGGGGAATTCAGTGTAGGAGAGAAGGCTTTAATCCAAGTGAAGGGCCCTTTACACTAGCCTTCGAAGAGGTTGAATGTCATCCTGTCTTGAATTAACACATTACCCTAGAAGTTACAGTGCCACCCTTCAGAGGTCTACCCTGTGTACACACACGGAGAAGTGGCTTAGGTTGTTAAACTCAGCATGTAAAACAAATTCCTGAAATATGACTGTAACTAGAATCCAGCTATTTTATTACTGACTGACTGGCACAATTAACAGTATATAAATTCCAAGAAGGTGCTTCATCTTATTCCAGTGCCTAGCATAGGCATATGGTGCATAGTGATGGTTTTAAAATTGAAGTGGGGTTGGGACCCATGGCTCACACCTGTAATCCCCGAACTTTGGGAGGCCGAGGTGGGTGGCTCACTGAGGTCAGGAGTTGGAGACCAGCCTGACAAACTTGGTGAAACTCCGTCTCTACTAAAAATACAAAATTAGCCGGGCGTGGTGGTGCATGCCTGTAATCCCACCTTCTCGGGAGGCTGAGGCAGGACAATCACTTTGAACACGGGAGGTGGAGGTTGCAGTGAGCCAAGACCACGCCACTGCACTTATGCCTGGAGTGCAACAAGAGCGAAACTCCATCTCAAAAAAATTAAATTAAGTTGAAAATTGAAGGGATCGGAGTGAAAAAGAAAACTGAAGGGATTCCAAGAATCACCTCATTTAGGGATGGACCTATTGTTATAATTGGATTTCTGAGATCAGTGCCGACTTCCTCTCACATTTCACAGGAAGCTAGACTTCTTAAGGCTTGAAGTTTCTTCAGTGGTTTTATTTAAATTGAATTAAAATAACTATTTTACAGGGAGAAACTTCAAAACACTTTGCAACTTTGGGAAGAAAGTTAAATAAAACACCCTAGCCCCAAATTAAGTTCCCACTGAAATGAAAAACTTTTGATCCTTTTAAAAAAAATTCCATATATAGTAAATAATGACTGTTTTCTTTTACAGATTTAATTTAGAAACATAACCCCTATTTAAGAGCTTTTATATGCAGTCATGTGTTGCTTGCCATGTGAGGAGGAGCTTGAGAAATGTGTCATTAGGTGATTTCATCATTGTGCTAACATCATAGCATTTACTTACACAAACCGAGGTGGTACAGCCTACAGCACACCTAGGCTACAAACCTGTACTATATGTTACTGTACTGAATACTGAAGATAATTGCTATACAATGGCAAGTATTTGTGTATGTAAACATGGAAAAGGTACAGTAAAAATACTGTATAAAAGTAAAAATGGGGGCTGGGCACAATGGCTCACACCATTGTAATCCCAGCACTTTGGGAGGCTGAGGTGGGTGGATCACCTGAGGTCAAGAGTTCAAGACCAGCCTGGCCAACATGGCAAAAACCTGTCACTACTAAAAATAAAAGAATTAGCTGAGTGTGGTGGCGCATGCCTGTAATCCCAGCTACTCAGGAGGCGGAGGCAGGAGAATCGCTTGAACCCAGGAGGCGGAGGTTTCGGTGAGCTGAGGTCGAGCCACTGCATTCTAGGCCAGGAGACAGAGCGAGCGAGACTCCATCTCAAAAAAAAAAAAAAAAAAAAAAAAAAATTTAAAAAAGTCTAATTTTCCTTTAGTCATAAAATGTAGTCTAAACATAGTTAAGACTTATGTAATGTAGGGCTTACCCTACTGTATTCACCATTTACTTCCTAACTGAAACAAGATTGGGAAGGAGGTATATATAAATAAAACCAAAGAAATACCCCCAACCCTACTCTGCTTTCATTCTGTCGCCTTTGGGCCTTTTCTAAAATAATTACATTTTTTGAATAGTAACACAAGTACATTATACCAGTTTCTTTTCTTTTTTTCTTGAGACAGAGTCTTGCTCTGTCGCACAGGCTGGAGTGTAGTGGCACAATCTTAGCTCACTGCAACTTCCACTTCCTGGGTTCAAGTAATTCTCCTGTCTCAACCTCCCAAGGAGCTGGAATTATGGGAGTGTGCCACCACACCCAGCTAATTTTTGTATTTTTAGTAGAGAATGGGTTTCACCATGTTGGCCAGGCTGGTCTTGAACTCCTGACCTCAAGTGATACACCCGCCTCAGTCTCCCAAAGTGCTGGGATTACAGGCATGAGCCACCACGCCCAGCCCAAATTTTAAAAATATAGTAAAATGCAACTCAGTTTCCCTTCACAGAGTCTATCTTTACAAAAATTTTTATCTTCATGGTCAAGCAAATACAAATATAAATATACAGGCACACTCCTGAATACCCACAGAATGTACCATTTTAATATTTCACAATAAAATGCCTCAGTTTTACTCTCCAAGCTAAGCAAATGTTCATCTCTCCCAACATATTTTTTGGCTAAGGATTTTATAAAGTAAATTTTTTACATTTAATTATTTCAATCCCAAAACTTAACACAAAGTTCTTAAAAAGATGTGTGAAATGTCTGGAGATACATTCTAAACAAAACTAGCAAAACTTTCTAAAAGCTGCTTCAGTATCAACAAAAGGAAGGTACACGTTATTATTACACAGGAAGGAAACGTGTGTTAACAATCATATTAATTAGTAACCAAGAAGAACTGCTTAAGAATTTTATTAAAAATTTTGTTAATTGCATGAATTAATTGTAATGCAGGCCTTACCCTACTGTATTCACCATTTATTTCCTAACTGAAACAAGACTGGGAAGGAGGTATACATAAATAAAACCAAAGAAATACCCCCAACCCTACTCTTCTTTCATTCTGCCTTCTTTAGGTCTTTTTTAAAACAATTACATTTTTTGAATAGTAACACATGTTACAAGGCCAGGCATGATGGATCACACCTGTAATCTCAGCACTGTGGGATTCCAAGGTGGGAGGATCGCATGAGCCTAGGAGTTTGAAACCAGCCTGGGCAACATAGGGTTCAGGTATCATTGCTACAAAATATTTCTTAAAACTTAGCCAGGCATGGTGCCATGTGCCTGTAGTCCTCACTACTCATGAGTCTAAGGCAGGAGGATCACTTCAGCCCATGAGGTCAAGGCTGCAGTAAGCTGTGATTATGCCACTGTACTCCAGCCTGGGCAACAAAGCAAGATTCTGTTTCAAAAAAAAAAAAAAAAAAAAAAATTGCTGGATTCAAGAATCCATCGATTTTACCTTTTAAGTAATCCAAGTTGTTCTCAGTAGTGGTTTTCCCCAATTTTTATTCTCATGGCTATGATATAAGTATCTATTTCCCCATAATTTTACCAAGCTTGCTCTGGTCTTTCTCAAACTGATAAATACCTGAAGGCAAGCTGTTCTTTGCCTAAAGTGAGATATTAGAGATATTTTCCCCAGTAGGTTTGTTGACTTTGTTTATGATGAAAAATAGCCAAATTTATCCTTTCCTTTTGTGAGACAGGCTGGCTCTGTTGCCCAGGCTGGAGTACAGTGGCAAGATCACAGTTCACTGCAACTTCAACCTCCTGGAGCCAAAGGATCCTCCTGCTTCAGCCTTCAAATAGCAAGTAATACAGGTGCATGCCATCATGCCAAGGTAATCTATTTTTTAATTTTTTTGTAGAGATGGGGTCTTGTTGCTGCCCAAGCTGGTCTTGAACTCCTGGCCTCAAGTGATCCTCCCACCTTGGCTTCCCAAAGTCCTGGGATTACAGGTTTAAGCCACTGTGCCTGGCCTTATCCTTTACTTAATGGCTTCTAAGTTGTGGGTTAAGCTTAGAAAAGCTTTTCTTACTTAAATATTATTTTTAAGATAATAATTCTACCATTATTCGGCCGGGTGCGGTGGCTCAAGCCTGTAATCCCAGCACTTTGGGAGGCCGAGGCGGGTGGATCACAAGGTCGAGAGATCAAGACCAACCTGGTCAACATGGTGAAACCCCATCTCTACTAAAAATACAAAAAATTAGCTGGGCATGGTGGCGCGTGCCTATAATCCCAGCTACTCAGGAGGCTGAGGCAGGAGAACTCCGCCATGAGGCGGAGGTTGCGGTGAGCCGAGATCGCGCCATTGCACTCCAGCCTGGGTAACAAGAGTGAAACTCCGCCTCAAAAAAAAAAAAAAAAAAAAAAAAGACTGCAGTGAGTTGATTGAGCCACTGCAATCTTGGCTGGCTGACAAATCAAGAGTTCCTCCTGCCAAAAAAAAATAAAAATAAGAAAAATAAGAAAACCCTCACCCTATCAAGAATAATTGTGTACTACCTTTTTTTAAAGTAATTAAACTTTTAGTCAGTTTGTTTAGAGAGAGTTTCTTTCTGTCACCCAGGCTGGAACGCAGTGGAGCCACCATAGCTTACTTAACCTTGAACTCCTGTGCTCAA